CTAGTTTACCAACTGATTTGTTCCACTCTTGACTAACATGTTTGATGTGGTTACGTCACCATGAGCCAAGCCACCGTCATGGAGCTTAGCGATGGCCTCTCCAATCTGAGCAGCAACATCGTCCAACCGGTCCCCATTTAACCCCAAACTCAAGGAAAACGTCTTTAACAGAGGCTCCTTCGATGTACTCAAGTGTCCAAGTGTGAAGCAGAGAATCTTCGGCATAGAGGACAGGAAGCTTTCTTGCCTTTGTCATATACCGAGCCTACTAGCTATATGCAACAAATTAAGAGCGTATATATCTATGAAGAAAGTTGATCTCTCAACACATAAACAAAAAGAAAGGTAATGAGGAAGAAGAAACGAACAGCATTCAAGCGCTTGAGTGTGAGTTTGGAATCGAGAATTGGGTTTCTGTATTTCTTGGAGAATTCTCTGTTTAACGATATATGAGAATACGAGTATGCATGATATAATGATATTAAGGAAAATGCTTTTGTCTTAACTAACTAATCGTATAATGTTCATACTCTTGGGTTAATGATTACTAGCCGAGATCCGACCTTCATAAGACTAAGAATGTTTTTATGTGATGCAATGTTTGCAATTTGCTTCGTATTTTGAAGTGGATCGTACATCCTTACATTTTGTAGGAGAGGATGGCCTAGTGGAGAATTGATGGATTATTTTTCGTCTGTGTTACTGTTACTGAATTCACTCTTATCTTTTTTTTTTTGTAATATGTGAATCAGTAGTAATTCTTCAATCAAAATTATTTATATAATACTTTTGTGATTTTGTAGGAATTAGCGTCCTACTATTTGAAACAAATATCAATTTCGTTTTACAACAAAATAATATAAATTAATACATTAAATATACAGGACTAGTTGTAATTAAGTATCGTTGAAGTTTTTTTTACTATGACTAGATTAATATAAAACCTAACACCACCTCTCATGGTGGTCTCTAACTGAGTTTTTTCACAATAAAAGATGAATATAAAAAGACAAAAGTAAGAGAAAGTATCATGGGTTTTTCAAATAAGAAACTCACCAATTTTTTTGAAAAACTCATTTGCTAAATGCTGTCGTATAATTAATTTGAAAAACTTTGTAGCTTAAATTTAACTAGGGTTGGACTCGCGCTTTGATTTTCTTGTGCTGTTTTCCTATATTTTGTACCTATATCATATATAGTGTGTATTGGTAAGTATTTATGTTAGTATATAAGTATATTTTTTACATTCATTAATACATTCTAATATTTATTTAAAATCTTATATCATATGGTTAATATAAGATTTTAAATAAATATTTTTTAGGTTTTGAGAACTTATTATTATATTCTTTTATTGCAATATAGCTTCATCCAAATCTTCAAACATATTCTAACTATAATCGTGCATAGATCAATATATTTACTTTTGTCATTTTTTCGTAAGACATTAATATATAGATTGTTAATTTATACATAATCTTTTTTTTACGTTTTGTTAAACACTTTAAAATTATATTTTCTAGATTTTTTGGGTTAAAAGCGTTGAAATATTAAATTATTAAATATGCAATTTTTTTTTTTGGATTATGGTGAAGAACTACGTACATTTTTACATAAAGATCATATATCATTGTCCATATATTTTGTTCTACAATTTATGAATAATGTCACCATTAATTTTTTACTTTATATGTATCAAAACTTAAGATTTTTTATAGGGACAATTGCAAAAATACCACTTTTAGTGTGCCACTAATACAACATAGTTAATCAAAACATAAATGATATAATGAGTAAATAATTTTGAAAAAGTGGTATTTTTGCAAAGATTTTGAAAAAATGGCATTTTTGAAAAGTATTATTTCTCAAAATTTATCATTGTTATATTTATTTTAAATTGTGGTATTACAACGTTTTCAATATTTTTCTTTGATACTTCAAAAAAAACTAAAATATAACATTTTGAATAAAATCTTACATTTCAAAATTTCACCTTATTTTCTCATCTTTAATGAAATTGTTTAATATCCTCTTTTTGAATAAAATATTTTTCTTATCTATTAGTGAAAGTTAATTTCTCAAAAAATTTTTTAGTTAAATCATATATCCTCTTTTTTTTTTAAACCTTCAACCTCATGACAATCGGTTAAAGCACAATTATGATAATTCAATAAATAATAAAAAAAATTTATGTTTCATTTACATTTTTATATATAAACTCTTAATATATTCATTATTGTAATTTTTATTTAGAAAATAAAATACTCAAGTAATCCTAAAATATGGTTCACCGTGATACATGAGTTATACAATTTTATTAAACTTAAAGACAAAAATTTGATTTAACCATTTACAATTTTATGCTACTTTTAATCATTTATTTACTTATTTTTAGTAGAATATAACTCGCGCGATGTACGATTTTTTTTGTTTTACACCAATTTATACCTCATATATCTTTTAAATATTTTTGACCAAAAAAAACAA